CACGGGGATAGCTGGAAATAATAGAAGTAAGAAACAGTTCTCATTGTCACAGAATTCAACGCTGCCTACAGTATTTTTGTCTCCATTAGATTTGATCGTTTGGATCTTCAAAATCTGAGGAGAATGGAGAATTGCAAAGTCTGGTTTCAGAGACTTATAGTGGAGACTTCAACATTTGCATAGAGTCTCAAAAGTTTCAATTGGGCTAGCACAAGAGTCAATCTGTGTTCAGCTCCAAGAACAGAAGCTAAACCGTTGCATCATCTTTTAATCCTCCACTTCCTTAATAGTTTTCCCTGGTAAGTCTGTTTCTTCTCTCAGAAATAAAATGACCTGGGTTAAAATTAGTACAGTATAGGCAGATGGACAAGGTAGTGTCAATTCACATGAGAGTCTAACATTTTGGTGTCTTCTATTTTTGTTCCATTTTGGAGCTACTGTATGTAATTGTGGTCCCCGTTAGCGTTATTCCCAAAATCTCAAAAATAGCTTTATTTCAAGAGGACTTGTTAAAACTAAACAGATAGCCTCAGAGAATTAAATTAAGGCGATATATTGGTTAAGCCAACTATAAAATATTGCATCTATCAAGATATTAAAAAACTGAATTATTTTGGAGACTAAAATAACATCTTTTTCCCAATGCATATTCAGGTTATCCTTTGCCTTAGTGTCTCATAAAGAAACTATGTATCCAGGAATCTGTCCTGTTCTCCAGTGCCTTCTTTTTTTTTTTTTTTTTTAGGAGCTTAACTCTTCTTGACCAAGAGGAAAACCACATCCCCTTCTGTTTTGTGACCTAATTCTGCTGAAGACTCTCAACCCTGCAATATTATTTCTTCTGAAAACATGAAGACAGAGCTGAAGATACTCTATTAACCAATCAATAACTTACCTTGTCAAACTTTATCAACTGGTGTTAACTGGGATACAAGTATAAATTTACCAGTCAAGCAAGGGGAGATCAGAAAAGCCCTTCTGCCATTAGCATATACGCTAATGTCACTAGAGAAGATTTAGGTGAGCAAAGTCTCAGTAGCTTGTTTTGAGTGAATTCTGGAAGCTATCAATGGGTCAAAGGAGTTCACTGAGTATAGCCGCAGCTCGAAGCACAATTCTTTTAAGGTATCCTGGCTCATTTTCAGCTGAGCAGTGGCCAGTTTGAAATTTAAAAATCAATTTTGTTTTTAAAAAGCTTCTTCTTACTAGTATTTTTTAAAAAAGCATCTCTTATTCTGTAGATCAGTTCTCTTCTTGCCTTTTTTTTTTTTAATGCCTTTAAAACATTTTAAAATGTCTTTTAGTTCATCTCTGGCCAAGCAGCTATATAAACAGATCTCCTCTGGTTACAATATAATAGTATTTTGTGTGTAGTATGTCCTTTTACCTATGCATCTCTGAAATTTATAAATGTTGTTACATTTCTTTGGACACAAATACCTTATGCAGTAACAGTGATCCAGAATTCAATTCTAGGTAGCCCAAATATTAATAAAAATGCAACACAAAAAAATGCAAAGGCTCAGATGAAACCGCAACGCACTTCTTCCTTGGATCAACAACGTCACCAACCAGTTTATATGTAGCAAAAACAGAAACACACTTCAGCATCATAAACACTTGATCAAGCAAATGCACTTAGCCATATACGCCCTATGAGTCATAGGGCCAACCGGGGCGCTTTCAGAAACCAAGAACAGCAGGACATGACAGCTTCCCCATGAAGGAGGCAGATTCAGATAGTTATAGTTTTAAAGGTCTTTTCTCTACAAGGAGCAGAGGGGCGGCACGCAGGCTCTGTCACCATGCTCCCTAGCGCATTTTTGGCTTCATATCTAAAACGTGAAGAGACTTTTTTTTTTTCTCTCCTCACCTTAAAGAGAGGAAACACACACCACACAAATATACTCCTTAACATAAACAAAACGCCAGGATTTATGAGATTTTCACCACTCCCTCTGCTCCCAGGGCCGGCGGAAGGAGGCTCAGCCTCTCCCTGCGCCACGGCCCCCACGACC